CCTGAGGCAGACAGTGGCAGGCTGGGCCCACCTCCCCTTTATGAGTCCATCCTAGCATTTGGCAGAAAGTCCCAGATGAAGGTGGGGGACAGGCAGGGTCCACCTGGCCTCTCCTCAGCAGGGAGACCCCTGCAGGCAGCTGCGAAGGCAGTGGCCAAAGGTCAAGAAGATGAACTCTGCCCAGCCTTCTGCTGCCTGTGGCTATGTTGGGACAGGACTGCCTTCCTTGTCACACTGGGCAGCAGGAGGCTGCCAGCAACCTCCCAGTCCCAGGGATGCCTTCCTTGCCTGGGAGCACCTCTGCTGCAGCTTCCGGATGAACTCCAGCAGGTTCATCTGCAGCATCAGCTCCTGGGATACAGAGGGGCCCTACGAGCATCAGAGTGACCCAGGCCCCTTTCACCCCAGCCTAGAGGTGCCAGGCAGTGAGCCCATGGGGCAACCATCCTGTGAAGCCAGTCATGGCCTGCCAGTAAGGGGTGGAATCTGGGCCTCTGCCCCCAGCAGGGCTGCTCAGAATGGCATGTAGGAGGAGAGCAGAAGAGGGCCATGTGGGCCTGGGGAGGGTGGGCAGTGCCCCATGGTTGGCTGGCTCACCCTCCTGCAGGGAGTGGGCCCAGCCTCTGTGCTGGGAACAGCACAGAAATCCTTTCTGGAGTCTCAGTCCTTCCACTTCACCCCTATACCGTAAGCCTGGATTCCCAGGGACCAGTGGTGAAACCTCAGATGGAATGGGGTCTTCAGGGCTCAGGGGCACTCAGGCTAGGGCAGAGCAGGTCCAGGCACTGACCTGCAGGTTGGTGGTCACTTAGAAGCCAGCCACCTCTGCCTTCTCCAGTGTGCTCTGCTGGTCAGCCACCTTGCGGTTCAGCTCCAGGATGATCTTCCCGTCCATCGCCCGCTGCTCCTCACGGATCAGGTGCTCCACCACCTTCTGTGGGTGGGGGAGGGTGAGGGCAGCTCAAACACAAGTGTCTGCTGCCGTCCCCAGTAGCACCAGCTCTGACACCACTGATGCATCCTTACCACACCCAGGCCTCTCCTTGGCCAGCCAAACCCTGAAGTGGGGCTTCAAGGGGCTTCCACGAATGGCCCGACTTGGGGCTGCCTTGGGACTGCACACGCATCTCTGCAGGCACCCACTGCCCCATGGCTTGTTGGTTAAATGCCAGTCTCCAGCTGTCCCTGTGCTCCCTGGGAGAAGGATGGGCCCCTTCCTGGCTGGCTCCATCACCTCACCCCCGAGGCCACCTGCTCTGCAGAGGCCCCAATGCACAAGGAGCTGCTATCCAGGTGAGCACTGGTGGGCCTTCACCCTCCACCCAGCCCCAGCACACCTGGTGGGACTCACTAGGCCTCCAGTGGCCCATTCAGGCCCAGGGTAGCCACCCATACCTGAGCCCCCTGCACCCCTTAGCTCAGCCCAGTCAGCAGAGCCAGGTGGTACCCACAGGAGAGCTGGGCTGGCCACCCTGCCTGTGCCCCCAGTACCTCTAGTTCTTGCTGCTGAGCCAACTGGAGCACAGGCAGGTTGTGGGGCCAGCAGGCCTGCTGAGCTTCCTGGTGCTTCTGCCTCAGTGCCTGCCTGAGCACTAGAAGGATGAGAGCCCATCAGCAGGTGGTGGGACTCGACAGCAGCCCTCACCCATGGGCACCTGCCCTGCCCCGAGCAGAGCAGCCAAGCCAAAGAGGTATCTGCACTGGGGAGGACGCCAAGCTCCTCCATCCTCCCAGGCCCACTGTCACCCAGGGCCGGGCCCTCCTCTGGCAGCAAGTCTCCAGGGGACTCCAGAAGGTGCAGGGCACTGAAAGAGGGTGGGGTGGGGAAGGCTAGGTGACGCCAGAGCTGCAGTCCCAGACCCAGGGCAACTGGAGGCGGTGGGAGGGAGGGAGGCTGCAGTCTGAGGGCTTCAGGCCTCACATGGCTACAGGCCAGCAGTGCTGTGTGTGCTCTGCCCCATCATCCATGGGACATGTACTCAAGTGTCGGAGACCACCTCAGGCAAAGGCATGAGAAAGGATCCAAGAGATAAAGAAACAGGACACTGAAGAACTGGTGAAGAGCGTCTGGACTGGGCCTGACTGTGGGGCCTCTGCATACCAGGAGTGTGGTTGGCCCCTCCACCCTCAGTGCTGCCCTTCAGGGTGGGCAGCTCCCTCCCCCATTTGCAGCTCCCAGCCCCCCACAGCACCTGAGGGAGAGGGGTGGGCACAGACCTGGGAGGCCCAAGTTTGGGATGAACCTGGGGTGCCAAGAGGCTCTGGGCCAAGGAGTCTGTGTGGCTCTGAGGGGCTCACCTTCGGCCACCAAGCAAAGCTCCATGGTCCCTGCTAAACTGTGCATAAACACAGATGAGCGAAAACTGTCTAGTCTGAAGGGAATGTACAGACGAAGTGATCACGGGACACAAAGAAACCACCATGGCGAAAGGGAACATGTAGCACCCGGCAGCTAGCACCAGTGACCAGTAAGTGCCAAATGGCTACAGCTCCCCAGGAAGCTTTCAACATTCCTGGGCTGAATATCTTGGTCTCCAGGAATGCTGAAGACTCTTGGTGAACTGCTAAGCTGTTATGTGTATGTATTTAGGGATATCAAGAGCTATGGCAAAATGCTAACCATTGAACTTCTGGTGGAGAGCACAAGGGTATGCACTATACTATCTTTTCAGCTTTTCTAAATGTTTGAACTTTAAGAACTTTGGTAAAAATAAAACAGCATAGGTGGAAATCTGATGGTGCAGGGGGACCTCACCCTGTGTAATTTGCAGGAAAGGGCTCCTAAGCCCACCAAGCATGCGGCTCAAGTGGGAAACTGTTCGGGTTTGGAAGGGTGTCAAAAGGGACAGTGCTTAGGAATTTGATGTGCAACTGGTATGAGACCCTACGAGGCGTGAGAGGAAACTAACCCTGAAGAGCGCTGCACAGCTGTCAACAGACCTTCAACTACTGAGGGGCAACGCAGTTAGCGCCAGGCCAACCAAGCACCGAGGCCTAGGGCCATCCTGCTTGGAATGGGGTGGGGCACAGGAAAGCCCGAGCAGGCAGTTTTTGCTAAGAAGGGGGGCTGCACAACTGAAAACAAAACTGTTTGGACCCACTGGTCACCAAAAAGGCGCTCGGTCTCTGCGCCTTTGATTTTGTCAATCTAAGGGACCTCTTCCGAACACTCCCAAGGAAGGAGCCGATCTGCACAGATATCAAGAGCAGCCAGGACCCTCCAACCCGGAGGAGGAGGCGCCTCATCCCGCTGCCCCGGCTCACCTCGGTGCTCGTTCTGTAGGCGCAGGCGCTGGTTTTACAGGCTCTTTTAGGTGATGTGCTGGATCTCCAGTAGCCCCTGCACGATTTCGAACATGGTGTCGTCGAGAAGCGCCAGGGCCAAGTCGCTGAGCGTGGTGCAGGACAGGCGCTGCTGGCAGTTGCTGCGGGCAGGGGGTGCAAGGTGAGCGCCTGCGGGACTCAGGCTGGCTTGGCAGGCCGCCGCCCGCCCCGCCTGTGTACCTGGGCAACTCCTTCACCAGGCTCTGCAGCGCCCACAGCAGCTGGTAGTGTCGCTCTTGCTGCCGGGTACTGTCCGCCACCTCCTCCAAGGCGCCCGCTTAGCGTTCCATGACCTGGGTGTCCGCTAGTCACCTGCTTCAGCGACGCACGCCCCGCCCCTTTTACGACAGTTTCGAGCACAGCGTGCCCGCCCGCCCCTCCCTCCCCGCCGCGCGCCCCGCCCCCTGCTTCATTCAGAAGGAGGCGTGCCCAGCCCCCTCCGCGGAGGCTCTAAGGAGGGTTTCGCTCTGCCAGTGCTTGCACCTGCGTGCTCCCTGCACGACCTTACAGGTGGGACTCGTATCCCACAGAATCCCACAGGCCCTCGCTGAGTCAGTGCGGGCTGAGGTCCGGGCTCCGAGCCGGTGCGTCTGTGACGTCCAGGTCACTGGCCTTCCCCTGGAGGGAGGGGTCTCGGGCCAGGGCCCACAGGACCTGGGCCTAAGGCACCGTCCGGGGCGAGCAGTGGCGCCTCCGGGGATGAGACTGACAGGACCACCCTAGAGCCTCTGGGCCAGAACAGTCGGAGGCGCAGTCCCCATCTGGGGCTGCTGTGGTCGCCCGGGGCTGCCAGGCCTCCAGCCCGAACTGTCGACACAGACTGCTCCCTCCCGGCTACTCGGGCCAGCTGCTGGGCCGGGGCTGGTGGGGGTTCTGGTGTTTGGGGCTGAACCAGCAACGAACAGGCTTCAACAGGAGGGGTTCGGGTGGAGGAACGGCTCCAGCAAACGCCCTGCCAGAGCTGGGTCAGGTCGATGGGCATGAGGACCAGTGTGGCCAAGCTGCGGAAGCCAGCCAGGGCGGGATAGAAGGGCAGGGGGTGTGCATTGCAGAGGCTGCTGGGGGCTTGTCCAGAGAGCACCAGGGGACACGAAAGTGCTTGGGGACACAGAAATGATCAGGCTTGCACTTCAGCAGGCACTCTTTAGCTGCCTGTGTGGTGGCTGGGCTCTTTGAGATGACGCTGCTTTGACTGGGTCAGAAATTATGATCGATTTCCAGAGAGAACATTGGTTAGTGATTGGCTGTGGGAGGGAGGGGGCGTTGAGCCAACTGGGGTCCCCCTGAAGTGCCAGCGTGGTCTCTGTTTTTCCCCAGGATCTGTTTCCTCAGTCCTGGCAGGATTCGCTCCCCTGTACTCTGTCTTTTTGATCCCTTCCAGCCAGAAACCAGAAGTGAATAAAGTGCCAACAAGCAGTCAGGCCACTGCTACTGCCGTGGAGGGTGGGCCACAACCCAGAACTGGTCATGCGCTGGGCACCCTGCCCTCCAGGCCCCTCAGAGTGGCAGGAGCTGGAGGTGGGACAGCTTGTGGGAGCTGAGCCTGCAGCGAGTGGTAAGAGCCAGCTGGGGCTGAGCCTGGTCACACTGTCCCCTCCCCCAGAAGTCGTGGGTGGGATAAGCAGCTGGGTGAAGATGCCTGCCTGAAGATTTTCACCAGTGTTCCTGACCTCAGTCCCCCAGTCCATGCAGGGCGTGTGTGAGGACTGGGGCCTAAACAGGGCAGCCCCACGTGATAATGATTTATGCTGCGGCCGGCTGGGCACCCCTGTCGTGAGCTCCTCCTGGTTCTGCCAGGTGAGTTGGAGGCTGTGAGCCACAGCAGGAGCAGGCCAGGCCTGGGTTTGGACACCTGCTCCTCTGCCTTGTCCAGCCACTGATGTAGGAAGGTCCCTTCTCCCACCCTTGGTGCAACTTCCGACCTGAACCAGCTTCCCCAGCCCCCCGAGCCCAGCAACAGCACTCCCCTAATGTGGATGTCAACCTAAAGAAAGAAATGGAACCACAATCCATATAGAGAGTTTGTCTGGGCCAAGGCTAAGAGAGCTGCCAAGGCTAAGAGAGCTGCCCAGGACGCCAAGGTGCCCTGGGAGTGCTCCATTCAGCCTTATTACCAGGAAGTGTTTCAAGACCGAAGGGGACAAGGAGTGGGCTGACATGAAGTCAGCAGGAATTCTGACTGCTTTCCAGAGAGAACCTTAGCGATGGGCTAGACAGTGATGAACGGCAGGGTAAGAGTTACGGGGTCCAACATGTGGCTTTTTATATCGACTGGTGTAAGCATGGAACCCACAGAGCAAGTGGCTTCACGAGGTCTTTAGCTCAAGTGGGAGTTAGATGTGACTGCTGTCTCATTCCAGTGCCTCTCTGGGCCTGATAACTAAAGAGAGCTCAAATTCCTCAGATAAAAAGTTCCTTTTCTTTTTCATGGACATAAGCAATGGGTCACTCAGGTATGGGGACTCCTGGGCCATCTCTGGGTCTTCAGGGAGGGCCTGGTCTGGAAGGAGGGGTCTCATCCCCTAGAGCCCCAGGGATGGGTGTGTAGGAATGGGGACACTGGTGCACAGACATGCGTGTCCCCTGTGTGTGTGGACACAGTGGGCCCCATGGCTCTTCATGTCAGGTGGTATCCACCGAAGGCCTTTGCTCTGAGGCCACTGTCCACCTCCACTTGGCCTCCCAAGTCTTCCCGGCTGGCTGGTGACAGCTTGGGTTAGTGTGGGGTGGCTGGTGTGTGTTGGGGGCTGCAGGTCCCTGGTCTGTGACACAGGTATGTCTAGGCAAGCACACCTAGCCTGTGCTTTAAAGGGACGAGCACCTGTGTGTGTGTGTGTGTGTGTGTGTGTGTGTGCGCATGCGTGTATGCACGTGTGGCAAAAGGCTTTGCTGCATGGCTTTTGTGTGGGTCTGTCTTTGAGTGTCACATGTGCCTTTCTGTGTTTCTCTGTGAGTTTTCCTGTGTCAGGTTGGGTGTCTGTTGTGTGGGAGGAAAAATAGCTCTGCTGTGGGGCCTGGAGCCATTGCAGGATCACCAGCAACCATACAGAGGTGTGCACAGCAGCTGACCTAAGCCTGCTCCTCCCAGAACATCAGGCTGCACCCAGGCCCCACTCACTCCCTCTGTCTCCTGAGACTGTTCCTTACTGCCTGCCTCACTGGCCCTAGTAAGTGGGAGGCTCCCTGCCCCACCCGCACAACAGAGCTGCAGAAGAGGGCACCACCCACCTGCAGTGAGGAGGGGCTCCTCTGCAGTGGGTGTCCTGAAACACATGCTCTCTGACCCCTTTTGTTTCGGTGCTGTCCTTTTTAGTGTGTGGCATGAGGATGGCAGGGAGCTGCCACCTCAGGCTTCTCTTGTTTTAACTCTGTGAGTAATCAGCTCTGAATGAGAGGGGCTCATTGTGTCTTTATTGTCAAATCAGACAGGCCTTGGCCTTGGCGTGTCTTGTGCGTGCTTGGCAAATGTGTTGCCCACGGGGGCAGTGGAGGTCCAGCACCCTTTTAGAAGACAGCGCCTTGTGGACCAGTTACAAGTGGCAGTGCCTGGGCACAGCTCTCACCTAGGTGGTGTGGAATGGGAGGAGGGCGGGGCCTCCCACTGCCCCACCAGCAAGATGGGCAGTGCGGCCAGCTCCTCAGATCTGAGAACGTTTGCTCTGTGTTGATAAAATGTTGTGTTGGGTGGCAAGATTAGGACTGAGTTAGTGCTTGTTACCATCAGCAGTGTTTGTTGAGTCAAAGCAAATAGCCACTTACAATTGAGTGGGCTGAGTGTAGTGACTCACACCTGTAATCCCAGCAATTTGGAAGGCCAAGGTGGGCAGATGGCTTGAGGCCAGGAGTTCAAGACTAGAGTGAGAGCTTTTCTCTACAAAAATTTTTTAAAAAATTAGCTGGTGTAGGCTGGGCATGGGGGCTCATGCCTGTAATCCCAGCACTTTGGGAGGCTGAGGCTAGTGGATCACGAGGTCAAGAGATTGAGACCATCCTGGTCAACATGGTGAAACCTTATCTCTACTAAAAAATACAAAAATAGCTGGTGTTAGATACCTATAGACCCAGCTATTTGGGAGGCTGAGGCAGGAGAATTGCTTGGACCCAGGAGGCGGAGGTTGCAGTGAGCTGAGATGGCGCCACTGCACCCCAGCCTAGCAACAGAGCAAGACTCCATCTCAAAAAAAATATTAGCTGGTGTAGTCGCATGTGCCTGAAGTCCCAGCTACTTGGGAGGCTGAGGTGGGATCACTTGAGCCCGGGATGTCCAGGCTGCAGTGATCTGAGATTGCACCACTGCATTCCAGCCTGGGCAACAGAGCAAGAACCAAATAATAAGTAAGTAAGTAAGTAAATTTGTTCTTCCACCCATCCATCCACCCACCCCAGAGTGCATCAACCCACTCTGCTGCTGCGTTGCTCCTCCCTCACCAACAGAATTCCCTGTTTCCAGCCAGGAGATGATGGTCCACAGCCACTGATAGAGTGGTGCCTCGTTAAAACTCTTTGGTTTGTGTTTCCACACAAAAGTGCTTAATTGCATTTGGGCAAAAAACTTGCAGTGAAGAGAGAAAAAGAGATGAAAGCAATCTGTGAGGGAGGCTCAGACCGATGTGTGGCGTGTGCTGTTGTGTGAGTGTGATGGGTGTGTTGGTTTGCACTGTTGATGCTCATGAAGTGAGGATGTGTGGAGTGCTGACTATACATGGTGCCTCTGCTGGATGACTGAGTAGAGGTCCTGAAACCATGCTGGTGGACTCACAGCCCTGAGTCCCTCAGGCACTCAGAGAGCAACCTGTGTCTTTTAGAGAGTAAAGAACTTTAGGCTCCTCACACCAAAGCTGCAAGTCCTATAAAAGCAGGTATGTTTGTTTTGCAGAAAAGAGGCCACATGCCATGGGCCTTTGCCCTGCATGCTTCAGACAGATCCGTGCCGTTGGGCCTTTCATGTCCTCTCCTGGAGATTGACCTGGTTATAGTGCTCTTTGGAAAAATGACAGGTGAGACCTTGCATGCCAGCCAGCCAGGTGGGAAGCAGAGCCCTGGTGGCGGCATGGGCCTGGTTGTTGAAGTGTTTGGTGATGAGGGGCCAAGGGGTCTTTGTTGTGCCAGAGACCCCCAATTGGTCACACTGATGGCTAGTTAGAGATAATGCAGGGGAGACCCTGGAAGTGCAGGAAAGCAGTCCACGCTCAAGAGTTGCTGCTCAGCCTCTGCACCACGGGAGAGTGAGATTGCTCCTTCTGACTGGAGGGTGTGAACATGGAGAGAATTCTCCCTAGACTCCAAGGGCAGTCAGTAATACATGCAGCTTCTGAGGTCTGCACTTAGAGCCAATGGGAGGAGGAATGTTGCCAACGGGCTTGGGCAAAAGCCCAGTGAGACTCTAGGGGGCTGCTCCTCTGGCTGGCACACACTGGGGCCCTTCAGTCTGTGGGATGAGAAGGGGTAAATGTCACTCAGTTGCCCAATGGCCACCACCATGACCCAAGCCGGCCAGGCCATGACCAATGTGCCAGTGAAGTAAGCATGAGGAAAAACTTACAATGACCCACCAGACTTGTGCAAAGGGTCTTCACCTCCACAAGGGAACACTGGCCTGCCCAGATTTGTTTCCTCATCTGCTTAGTGCCATGGGCAATGTGAGGGGCAGCTGTATCTTCCCAGGCCACTATAACCCCAGCCTGGGTTCAGATTGGAAAACACGCATACGTAGGTGATGAGATGTCACTGTGTGTGTCTTTGGGCTCCATAACCAAGGACCACAGATTGAGGGCAATACCAGGAGTAGATTTTCTTACAGTTCTGGAGGCCAGAGGTCTCAGATTGAGTTCTGTAAACCAAAAATAAAATTCTAAGACCCCTTCTCTTGGCTGAAGTAAGCCTGAAAAACTAGTTCAGGCAGTGACCAGAAGCAGTAGGGGGTGGGCTCCCTTTTGGAATTCAGGAAAAGCTGACCAGCATTAACATCAATATAGACCTTGAGTCTGATAAGAAACATTTACAATCCACTCTCTGAAGCCTGCTACCTGGTGGCGTCATCTGCATCAAACTTTGCTCTCCAAAATCCTTTATTGTGGTAACCCAGGCATTCTTTTCTA